CCACCATATTCGCAAAACACCCGATCACTGTGACCATTGTCGTTTTGACATACATCGAAGCGAGTCCGCTTTTCGCACAAGCCAGAGCGGCACCTGAAACCCAAAATAATGCTGGAATGCAGAATTGCCGCCCCAACTGTATCCACCTAGGCGCGTATCCGTTACGCTCGTACTCCGCATGGTCCTGACCCACTGCTTTGTACTCTGGCCAGTCCTTGGGAAAGTTGGGGAAGTGCTCGTTGTCTAAGATGACACCTTGCACTTGTGTGAGCACCATCCAGACATGCAAGTAGACTGCAAGTGAGATCATAACTGAACGAATCCAGTCGAGGTGATGCAGTCGTCTGGAGACACCCTGGAAATCCATGAAGGACGCAACCGAATCTAGAGGACCGCGCAAGCCTGGGTCGCGCTCATCCTCCGAATTCACCTGTTCCCGTGCATCAGCCGCCTCGATGGAGAAGGAATGCAATCCGCCAGACATTCGAGCAAAGTCGGATACAAAGAGCAGGTTCGGGCACTTGAAGCTGAAGAGCTACGGACGGGTCATTTTGAAAAGAGGGAGCCAGGCACGTGTCCCTTCAGAGATGAGAGGAAGGCGAAGCGCCAGAAAACGCAAACATCTTCTGTTCGTTTCGTCTAGAGTCACAGAGCCCTGCATGGGGTGCGCAGGAACTGTCAAGAAGGGCGCTTCGCTTGTCAAAGGGCGACTCCAGACGAGCTCGGCATGTACCACGCTGCCGCAAGTTTTGAGACCGTCCCCTCTCGTCGAAGCTGTTTCCTGAACGATAGCTTGGGCAAAACTGCCAAACCAATGCTTGCACTGAAACGGCACTCGCGGAAAATGCGAGGACTTGGCGGAAGTCGGCCGGGGTCCTGGGTGCCCCGGTGCCCAGCCCTGGGCCCTGAGATGCCGAGGCCACCTAAGTGTAAGTCGGGCATGTCCCTCTACAGGAGGAATATCCAAAAATAGTCACACAAAAAACCTTGGGACGATTTGTCTAGTATGTTTGACTATGTTTGAATATTATTCCCTACCTAGGCTCTGCCTAGAAGGGTTCTTACTCTCTGGGCTTAAAGGGGCCGGGCAGTGGAAAGCGCCCCGGGCGGTTCCCCCAGTATCCGCCCCGCGGTTCCCCCAGTCCCCTGGGAGCTTTAGCTTTAGCTCTAGTTTCAGCTTTAGCTTTAGCTTAGCTTTAGCTTAGATTTAGCTTAGTTCTAGTTTAGCTTTAGCTTAGCTTTTGCTTAGCTTTAGCTTAGCGTTAGCTTAGCGTTAGCTTAGCGTTAGCTTAGCTTTAGCTTAGCTTTAGCTTAGCGTTAGGTTAGCTTTAGCTTAGCTTTAGCTTAGATTTAGCTCAGTTGTAGCTTAGCTTTAGCTTAGATATAGCTTAGATGTAGCTTAGATTTAGCTTAGATTTAGCTTAGATATAGCTTAGCTTTAGCTTAGCTTTAGCTTAGATTTAGCTTAGCTGTAGCTTAGCTTTAGCTTAGCTTTCGCGTAGCGTTAGTTTAGCTTTAGCTTAGCGTTATCTTAGCTTTAGTTTAGCTTTAGCTTAGATTTAGCTTAGCTTTAGCTTAGCTTTACTGTTACTACTAATGCTGCTTTCCTAGGGGCTCCAACTCCTAGTTAGGGTCGCGCTGGGATAATTTGATTGTTTTTCCCCCAAAAGAATCAGCATGTAAAAAAACATGCCCGACCTAAACCTAACTCCCCGCACCGCGCCCCGCGTTGCGCGACGTGCGACTCCTTCTGCGCGATCGCGCCCTCGCGCCGCCCCCCTGGAGAAGGACAACCGCTCTCTCCCTCCCCCTCTCTCTCTCTCTCTCTTTCTCTCTTGACGAACCAACAACACACACACACACACACACACACACACACACACCCATACCCATAGGGGGGTCGGAGAGGGCTAAGGGTACGTGTTGTCGGATGGGGATCCCCGCTCGAACGGGAGCGTTCCCCAGGGTCCGACAACCCGCACCCATACCCATAGCGAGTCCTCCCCCCAACGACCGCCCCTATGGGTATGGGTGTGTGTTGTTCGTTCGTCATCTCTCTCTTTCTCTCCCTCCCCCACTGAGATCCGACGCTGCAAAAAGACAAATACAACATCGCCGAAGATCACGACCGGAGCCCCGGACCCCATATTTCTGCGCCATTCTTCGAGCAGGGTCGATCCGTGAGGGTCCCGGGGCCCGAAGTTGTGCAAAAACGCACGTTGCGAAGAGGTTGCGACGCCAGGATCTCAGGGCCTCTCTGGCCTCTGGCCCATCCCGCGACGCGCGAGGCGCGATCATCTCCACGCCCTGGCACCCTGCGATCTGGTGCTCGAGACGTCCTCGGAGAACGACCCAGGTCCCAAAACCGTGCGGGGACCCCGAATCCCCACTGGCTCACCACGCGGCGCGCTCACCACCCCGTCGGGGGGCCCCGCTCAGGAGGGGGAGAGGCCGTGGCGTTGCTCCAGGATGGGGCAGACCTTAGGGGGCCACATGCGAGCCCTGCCCCTACCCCCCACGACTTCTGAGGGGGAGGGTGGGGTCCACTCCGTTCGGGAGCTCCCGAGCGAAGTGAACCCCACCCTCCTAAATCGTGGGGGGTAGGGGCAGGGTTCGCATGTGTCGGGAGCGGCCAAGAGGGGGGTGTCCAAGAGGGGGGGGTGCAAATCATGACCGGCGGCATGTGCGCGGCCCAGCGGGGGGGCCAGGGACGTAATGAAACAAGAAGAGGCGCCATAAAATCTGGGGAAATATCATGGCCCCCGCCATGATATCCACCCCCCCCCCTAGTCATCACCCCCCTCTTTTCCGCCCCCGAATGTGGCCCCCTAAGGCCGGCACGGGCCCCTCTCGCGGGCGGACGGGTCGGCGGCGAGCCCGGGGGGGGGGGGGCCGCGCCCTGAGGCCAAGGGGCCGGCCACCGCCCCAAAGCGAGAGGCCACCCGGGGGCCCGGCCAGGGCCTCGAGGCGGATGCCGCGGTGGCGACGCAGAGCCTCCCCGCGGGCCCCGAGGAGGGGCGAGCCACTGCCAGAGCTTGGCGGCGAGCCCAGGGGGGGAAGGCGAGATTCTCACCTCCTCCTCCTCCTCCTCCTCCTCCTCCTCCTCCTCCTCCTCCTCCTCCTCCTCCTCCTCCTCCTCCTCCTCCGAGAGAGAGAGAGAGAGAGAGAGAGAGAGTCGGGGGAAAACAAATCCTCGCTTTTGACCACCCTCGCTTCCAAGAGATACCAAACGATGCCACATTGCGGCCTGTACTGGTCAGGCCGCTTGACGAGGAGGCGCGTGGTACGGCTTGGTTTTGCCTGGAAGCGAAAGCGGGGTAGGTAATTCACGCTCTGAGAGAAGGGGCGGGCCTTCCCCGAGGGCCTGGGCATCCCCCAGCCCTCCGAGAAGTCTTCGAGCCTGCCCGGAGGACGCGGAAAAAACCCTCAGAAGGCGCGAGGGGCGTCTGCGGAGCCCCGCCGCCTCCTGAGAGGGCCTTCTCCTTCCCTCGTCCCCCCCCCGTCGCTCGCCGCCGAACCAGACCACCCGAACCCGCTCGCCCGAGAATCAGCGCCCCTCAAACGGGGACCCCACTAACGGGTACTTTGGCCAGTGACCCAGCGAATCCAACCCTTCCCGATGTGGGCAACGCTGCAATGCCAGAAAAAGGCCCTAAAGTGGCAACTTTCGGCATCATTTCAAAGTACCCGTTAGTAAGTACCCGTTACGGTGCCGTTGAGAGAAACGTTCCGCGAGCGGGCCGGGTCGCACTCGCCGGCGGGCTGTGGCTCGCCAAGGGGCCTCTGCTCGCCAACGGGCCTGTCCGACGAGGGCCCGCTCTCGCCCGCGGGCCGGCTCGCCGCCGGCCGGGCGGGCGAGGCCCTGGCTGGCGGGGGGGGCGCGATCGCTCGCGACGTCCTCCCAATGCAGGGAAGTTGGCGGCCGAGCCACGAAGGCAGGGGCTCCCGCTCGGTGTCGGTGTGTCCTCGCGGTGTTCCTCCGGGGGCCCCCTGGCCAGGAGGGCCCCCGAGCTCGGGAACGGAGGCGGGCGGGCCGTCACGCAAGTAGGGGGCCACAGGAGAACCCTACCCCTACCCCCCACGTTTTCTGAGGGGGAGGGTTCACTTCGCTCGGGAGCTCCCGAGCGAAGTGAACCCCACCCTCCCCCTCAGAAATCGTGGGGGGTAGGGGTAGGGTTCTCCTGTGGCCCCCTAGCAGGCGAGCGGTCCGTCTGTCAACGGGCCCATCGCTCCGAGCGGATCGAGGCCCGGACGGAGCGGTCGGTCGGCGGAGCGGTGCGTCGGCGGAGCGGCCCAGGCCGAGGGGGTGCGCCGGCGAGAGGCGGTCCGGGCGAGGCGGCGTTCGGCGCGAGGCTCTGCCCCAGGAGGAGAGGACGCGGGCGGGAGGAGGGAGGAGGCGGGAGGCAGCCCGGAGCAGCGACGAGGGTCAAATCATGAGTCGGCGCTGGACGACGCAGTGTCCGGAAGGAGCGAGGAGGGTGGAGGCAGGGGCGCGCAGGGAGGAAGGAACGGGGCAGTGACCGATCCAAGGCCAGCAGGGCTGCAGGCAGCGGGGGATCCTCCTCCTCCTCCTCCTCCTCCTCCTCCTCCTCCTCCTCCTCCTCCTCCTCCTCCTCCTCCTCCTCCTCCTCCTCCTCCTCCTCCTCCTCCTCCTCCTCCTCCTCACACCTCCTCCTCCTCCTCCTCCTCCTCCTCCTCTCCTCCTCCTCCTCTCCTCCTCCTCCTCCTCCTCCTCCTCCTCCTCCTCCTCCTCCTCCTCCTCCTCCTCCTCCTCCTCCTCCTCCTCCTCCTCCTCCTCCTCCTCCTCCTCCTCCTCCTCCTCCTCCTCCTCCTCCTCCTCCTCCTCCTCCCACACCTCCTCCTCCTCCTCCTCCTCCTCCTCCTCCTCCTCCTCCTCCTCCTCCTCCTCCTCCGAAAGAGAGAGAGAGAGAGAGAGAGAGAGAGAGCAGGACGAGCGAGCCAGCATGTGCACCTAAGGTGGCGGATCAAAGAAAGACGTCCTGAGTCCCCAGTTGCGCCGCCGAACAGCACAACCCGACCACCTCCAACCTGGCGGGGAACGGCCTCCTCCTTGTCCTGCTCCTCCTCCTGCTCCTCCTGCTCCTTCTGCGCCTCCTCCTCCTCCTCCTCCTCCTCCTCCTCCTCCTCCTCCTCCTCCTCCTCCTCCCATTCATCCTCGTCCTCGCCCTTCCTATTTCTCTTGCTCCTCATCCCGCTCCCTCCCATACGGCTGGATCGTGTTGTGATGACGTTGGCGTTAGTTTCTGCCACAGCAGTAGCCCCTTCGCAGTAGACCCTTCAACCTTGAACGATCGCGGCGGAGTTGAACCTTTAACGCACACGCTGGGGCCACCGCCACACCGACACGACGCGAACCTACCGGACTCTCCCCCTCCTCCAGCACGTGGGAAGCGACGGTGCGTGCGTCTCTGGCGTCGTTCGACGTTCTAAACACTGTCGGCACAGCTCTTCCCCCGCCGCCGCGAGACGAGACGCTCGGCAAAGACGGTCCTGTCCTCCTCCTCCTCCTCCTCCTCCTCCTCCTCTCTCCTCCTCCTCCTCCTCCTTTTCCTTTTCCTCCTCCTCCTCCTCCTCCCTCCTCCTCCTCCTCCTCCTCCTCCTCCTCCTCCCACACCTCCTCCTCCCTACTCATACTCATACTCCTACTCCTACTCCTGCTCCTCAACCTCCTCCTCATCCTGCTCCTCCTCCTCCTCCTCCTCCTCCTCCTCCTCCTCCTCCTCCTGATCCGCCTCCTCCGCCTCCTCCGCCTCCTGTATATCCTTCTCAACGAGCAGGGACAGCTGCCTGCAGGCATTGACGACAAAAGGACAGAGAAGAAGGGCGGAAGGGCCAAGAGGGACGACGACGCGACCACAATCACCGTTCCCGTACGCGCTTCTTGCTACCTGAACTACTCCAGAATTACTTCATAATACTACACAGATGTCAATGACTGCTACTGCTAGCACTCCTGCTCATGCCCGTACTAACTATTACTAGCTATATATATATATATATGTGAAAACCCTCTCGATGATGCTGTCGGCCCATGGAGCTTTGACACAGAAAGCACTCTGGGCAAGCCCTGCGCTCAGTTGTGGCAGAGGGATGGACGACGACCTCAGCAAAAATCACAAGTCCAGAGCGGCACATAATTCGTGCACCATGCAAGCAGTGTGTGAGCATCTGGAAAATGAGTGCGGGTCAAGCACACGTGCCCGCGGGCCAAAGGTCAACATGAAAACACAGTCAAGGCGGGGAAACAAAAAAAGCAACAATAACAACCACAACAGCAACAACAACAGCAGCAACAACAACAATATAACAGCAGCAGTAACAACAGCAACAACAACAGCAACAACAACAACCACAACAACAATCACAACAACAGCAGCAACAACAATAACAACAACAACCACGACAATAACAACAACAACAACAACAACAACGACAACAACAACCACAACCACAACCACAACCACAACACCAACAACACCACCACCACCACCAACAACAACAACAACAACAACAACAACACCATTACGAGCAGCACACATCATCTCCATGGCCCGTTTCAAAATAAAACGTTCAAACCAAAACGCTCAAAGTTCCGAGGCAAGTCCAAATAAACCGCTCCACAAGTGAACTGAGAGCCCGCGGCAAAGAATGGACGTCCAGCATGAGTATAGGCGGCTGCTTGCTCTCAACTATGACACCAGTCCTACCAGTCCATACATATCGACAGCTCGCTAGTGGCTACGATATGATATATACAAAGTCCTTGCCTTCACCAACTACGGACTACGAAATCCATTGTTGTCTGCCGCAACTGCTACAGCTGCTCCTGCCACTGCCACTGCCGTTGCTGCCGACACTGTTGCCACCGCTGCTGCTGCTGCTGCTGCTGCTGTTGCTGCTGCTGCTGCTGCTGCTGCTGCTGCTGCTGCTGCTGCTGCTGCTTCGTATCATCCTCCTGTTCATTCTCCTCCTGCGGTGATCGCACTCCTTTGCATGCTCTTCCGACTGTCCCCTCTTGACCACTGGGCCGTGTCCTTGCTGCATCTTTTGCCAGTGGGGGGGAGAGAAGCGTGCAGAGGGGAGGAGAGAGGAGTGCCGAGGGGGAAGGCGACATCGATCCTCTATCGTCGACGATCCAGGATCGGGAAGTGTCTTGCCCCTGGGACAATTCTCTCAGCCTCCAAAGCCTCCAGAAGCCTCCAGGGCCTCCAGGAACCTCCAGGGACCTCCACAGACACTCGGAGGCTTCCAGAGACCTCCGGGGGGACGAGGAAGGGGAGGGGCGGAGAGGGGAGGCGAGGAGAGAAGGCAGCGCGGAGAACCGGCGTGGTAGTGTGCCCGAACCTGGCCAGTGGCACGTCTCCTCGCTGCGCCTCCTGGCAGGAGGCAGGGAGGAGGGTGTGCGGAGGAGGCGCGCAGGAGCGGCGAGGAGAGGGCATAGGAGGACGGAGGGGAGCGGGAGTGGAGGGGGTTCAGCAGCCTCCTCCTCCTCCTCCTCCTCCTCCTCCTCCTCCTCCTCCTCCTCCTCCTCCTCCTCCTCCTCCTCCTCCTCATCATCATCATCATCATCATCATCATCATCACATCATCATCATCATCATCATCATCAGCATCAGCAGCATCAGCATCAGCATCAGCATCAGCATCATCATCATCATCATCATCATCATCATCATCATCATCATCATCATCTTCTTCGTCATCATCATCATCATCATCATCATCATCATCATCATCAGCATCATCATCATAATCATCATCATCACCATCATCATGATCATCATCATCATGATCCTGATCATCATCATCATCATCATCATCATCATCATCATCATCATCATCATCATCATCATCATCATCATCATCATCATCATCATCATCATCATCATCATCGTTATCATCATCATCATCATGATCATCAGCATCATCATCATCATCATCATCATCATAATAAGCATCATCATCATCAGCATCATCATCATCATCATCATCATCATCAGTGACCTACATGGGTGGCGAGGAAAAGGGCCCCTCAAGGCCCTTTGAGGTCCTTTTCTTCAACCCCCCATGCAAGTCAACACCATCACCGCCCTCCCGAGGGAAAGTGAGGAGCGGAAAGGGGGCTAGTTCCGGAAGGGGGGGGGCGGTGATGCCGTTCAAGCGTCCTGGGGGCATATAGGGCTCTGCCCTTCGGAGTGACAGCTCGAGTTGGAGAGCGCTGCGAATCGGCAACCACATGCGAACCTAACCTTGCAGGTCAAATTCCTGCAAAAACAGCTGAGGCTCAGAACTTGAAGGATGCCAAACACCCTCGCAGGGGTGTCCGATACCCCAGCGTCGATCGGAGCCGTATGGATCGGGTTCACAAGTGGTCGCAGAGCGGATGCATGAGGCTCGACCTGACTGTCATTCACCTGCTAGTGGGGGTCAGACTTCTGGGTGTCACAGTCAGCTAAGAGCAAACCGATGAACAACAAAAAAACATCCGAGGACGATACTGGCCTGGGGGAGGAATTTCCAAAGGAGCTGCCATGGAAAAGGCCAAGGAAGACATGTCTCTTCAGACAAGTGCGGGCCCGAACAGGGGAAATCCACGGCATTGAGCCCACCTTCCCAGACATGCGCTGTCCTGATTGTTTCCATACGAGGTCCCTGGAGATCCCGACCTCCACGGGACCAACATTTCATCCTGACTCGCTTTTTGACGGTCCCAGGTCCAAGCAGGGGCCCTCTCAGAGGCCCAGAACTGCCAGAAGCCTCTCGTCCTGACTTCTGTCCCGACGCGGGCCTCTGGGCTTTCCTGCCTCCTTTTGAACACTAACCCCGGTCAACCCCACCTGTTCGGTGGCAACTCACGGGTGCCTCCCGAACTATCTTGTTGGCTCTTGCGAATCGGAGCTCGTTAATCGACGCTCATCGACGATGAATCGACGCTAAATCGACGCTGATCGACGCTGATCAACGCTGAATCGTCGCTATCTCATCTACTACCGAACACTGATCGACACTCATGCGCTCTACAGACGGAGTTGCGAGGGTATACAACAAGCCTCGGAAGGAATGAGCGAACACTAATGCCACATGCATCTGTCAATGACCTCTCCCAGTGATCAATGTTGGCGGCGGGTTGAAGAAGTTGCACTTCGACCCCGCAGTCTTCCCCGCGCGTGCCAACTTTGATTTCGGGCGAGGGGTGCAGTCCACGAATTGCATCCCTCTACCGAAGGACTTGCTGCCGAACGCATCGGCCGCTTCTTGGGCCATCTTGGAGCCCTCTTGGGCCATCTTGGGGCCCTCTTGGAGGCGTCTTGGGCTGTCTTGGGGCGGTCTTGGGAGCTTCCTGAGCCGTCGTGGAGCGTCGGAAAGCCGAAAATGCGGGAAGGTCAAAACCCTTCAAAAACATACATGTAAAATCTACGATTTGGGCCTCCTGGGGCTCGACCAGCTCCGCGCCCCGCGCCGCGCGGACGCTCGAGCCCTCGCGCCGAGGCCCCCCCCCCGGCGATCGCGCCGACCGCGGCACTCTGCGCCGCCCAGGTGCGAGGCGCGGCTCGCCCCGAGCGGCGAACATGTCCATGTCCACGCCCTCCCCGTCTCTGGGCTCCTCCTCCTCCTCCTCCTCCTCCTCCTCCTCCTCCTCCTCCTCATCATCATCACCACCACCACCATCATCATCATCATCATCATCATCATCATCATCACCACCACCACCACCAACACCATCATCATCATCATCATCATCATCAGCATCATCATCATCATCAGCAGCAGCAGCAACATCATCATCAGCAGCAGCACCACCACCACCACCATCATCATCACCACCACCAACACCATCATCATCAACATCATCATCAGCAGCAGCAGCATCATCATCAGCATCATCATCAGCATCATCATCAGCATCATCAGCATCATCAGCATCAGCATCAGCATCAGCATCAGCACCAGCACCAGCAGCACCAGCAACATCATCATCATCATCATCATCATCATCATCATCATCATCATCGTCACCAACATCATCATCATCATCATCATCATCATCATCATCAACAGCAGCAGCATCATCAGCATCATCAGCATCATCAGCAGCAGCATCATCATCACCATCACCATCTGCAGCAGCATCATCATCAGCATCATCATCAACATCATCAGCATCAGCATCATCATCATCGTCATCGTCATCATCATCATAATTTCCCTCCATCTCCTCCTCCTCCTTCATCTTTTCTCTTCCAAGTATTCCCCCGAGGATTTCCAGAACTGGGGAAGCACTTAGTCCAATAGCTTGGCCAGGTTGCTGCCCAACGTTTAGCCGCGTGGGCGTTTCCAAAAGGCAGGGGGCGGCGGTGGTTCACCGTAGGCTCCGTCGATCGATACACACAGCCACACACACACACTCATGTGTATGTATATACAGAGAGAGAGAGAGAAAAAAAAAAAAAAAAAAAAGAGAGAGAGAGAGAGAGAGAGAGATAGAGAGAGAGAGATGGCGTCGCGGCCCGCGCGCAGCGACAGGGCGTCCAGAGTCAGAGAAGATAACGCGCGTGCGCGCGCCTAAAGGTCGAGCCCTCGAGCCGCTCAGAACGAGCAGCGCCTCGGCCAGCAATGGGTCACACACACACACACACACACACACACACACGCACGCACACACACACACACACACAAACACACACACACACACACTCACGCACACGCACACACGCACACACGCACACACGCACACACGCACACACACACACACACACACACACGCGCGCGCGCGCGTGCGCGCGCGCGTGCGGCAACTCCCTGGACCTCCCCCTGGGGCGCGCTCTGGCCGGGCACCCCAGGCGATCCCAGCCGTGGCGACGAGGGCCCAGGGCCCCCACCGCGGAGGCACCGCGCGCGCCAGGAAGCCGCGGAGGGGCGGGCGTCGGTACTCCGATCTTGCCCTGAATTCGGATCCACCGCGCCTTGGCGGATTATCCGACTTACAGGTGTGCTGGAAGTGCACCCTGGACGGCGCTAAAAAGTGCAGTCAGCCCGTGTAGCAAGGGCGCACGATGAGGATGAAAGAGGGCCTTGGAGGGCCATGTCGACACCTTGCGAGCGGGGCGCGGCCAGCGAAAGCGGCCAAGGATGAGCCGAAGGGGAAGGATGCAAAAGTAACCTTGGGAAGTTGCTCATCCTTACTATACGGCTTGACCGTAGGGCGGAACTTCTGGCTTCAGAAAAGTAGGGATGATATTTCCGATGACGTATGACGGAGGCAGCGACGGCAGAGCAGGGCGGACATCTGCATCACAGGAAACCAAAAAAGTAGGCGGAAATGCCCGCCCCACTCGCGACATCGCCCGCGGCACGGAGTATCCAAAGTCAGGGTGCCCCCTCCCGTCCGCCCCAGACCCCTCTGCAGTGTGAAAAAGCACAGCGCGAACGTGTTCTTCCTCGGCGTTTCGAGATGGAGCGAAAGGGGGGGAGAGGGGGAGGGCGGCCTGGTTCCGAGCCCCTGCTTGGTGCGACTGTCTGGAGCAGTGCTCCCATGGGGAATCTCACGGGCAGGCGAGGCCCCACGGTGCTTACAGGGCAGTTTTTGATACATTGGATTGTTTGAAAGATCGGATTTTAGGGAGGGGGCCCCAGCGCCGATGCGAGAAATCCGCGCGGACCTCCGAGTTTTTTTCTATGTTTATGCCATGTTTCGTTCCCCTAGTGAAGCATCGCCCGGCGTTGCGACTGTCTTCTCACTCGTTGTTGTGCCGATCGGCGCGGGCCCTCGCCCCCCCCTCCCCCGTGGAGTAGATCTTGGCTGTTCTCGGCACCGGTTTCCAGCAGGTGGTGTACAGTGCCGTTTTTAATACATGCTCCGCGTGCGGATCATGTACTAAACATGCAGCGATTCAGTACTAAAAACAACGATGAGTTCATGCATACATTTATTCATAGATTAATCATCTATGAAAAATCCGATATTTCAAAAAATCCAATAATGTATTAAAAACGGCCCTGTAAGCACCGCGGGGCCCCGCCTGCCCGTGAGATTCCCCTATTCACTGTCTTCCGCCCCCCGGGGCCCTCCCCAGGGCCCCGGGCAGCCACGCAGCGACGCCAAGCGAGAAGGCGGTGCTGGGGAAGGGGTCCAGACCTCCAGGGGTCCAGGCCGTGAGAAATCACGACGTCGGAGGTCTTGGGATCAAGTCGGGCGTGTCCCCCTGCAGGGGGAGCTTCGGCGAAAAATAGAAAATACCCAGAAAATGCTCCAAAATGGTGAAAGAATAACCAAAAAATAGTCCCCAGACTATTGTTGTATTATTTTTGAATATTCCCCCTGTAGAGGGACAGGCCCGACGTAAGTCTGGGGCCGAGGCGTGGGCAGGACCAGTCAGCACCGAATTGGGAGATCGGATCGAAGCGGAGCGCGAGTCAGATCGGACTGCACCGGCACGGAGCCGAAACCGAATCGGATCGGCTGCGCCAGGATGCACGGCGCCGTGCAAGCATCGTGCCGCATCGGATCTGCCGACCTCCTCCTCCTCCGCCTCCGCCTCCGCCTCCGCCTCCGCCTCCGCCTCCGCCTCCGCCTCCGCCTCCGCCTCCGCCTCCGCCTCCGCCTCCGCCTCCGCCTCCTCCTCCTCCTCCTCCTCCTCCTCCTCCCCCTCCTCCTCCTCCTCCTCCTCCTGGAGTCGACCTCGAATCGGATCGATCGGATCGAAGTGGACCCTGCCAGGTACCCCCAGAGCCCCTGAAGGCAGCCACGGGGCCCCAGTGGGGCCCCCGGGAGAATCGCAGGTGGACCCTAGAGAGCATACTCTGCACGGCCCCCCCATGATTGAAGGGGCCCCAGGACACACACACACACACACAAATAGATACACACAAATAAACAGATTCCCAAGATTTTCCCATATGTTCTGGGTTTCTGTCTTCCCCCCCACTTCCCATATTTTCCCATATTTTCTGGGGAATCGAGGATTAATTGTGTCTGTGTTTTTTCCTCTCCTGAATGATGACCCCAGGAAGCCCGGGCATTCCTGACGATGATCCCTGCTTGATGCCCTTGAGGGGCAACGATAGGGGGGGACTGACATAGGGTGGGCAAGCACCGACTTGGAATCGACGGTGCATCGCCGATAGATCGGCGATAGGCCCCCGATCGCCACTCCGCACCTTCCTGGGCGAGGGTGGACCATCGGGCCCCCATCGACGATGAATGGGCGATTGGGGATCGATGCGTTCCCCACCGAACCAGTTCCCCATGTCGTTGCCTCCTGGCTTTCGGGACATACCCCGGCTCCCCGGCGGCCGTTCGGGACGACTCCTGAACCCCAAGAACGCTCTCGGCCAGGCGCAGCTGCTGTAAAGCATCCCGAGGCTGGATAACCGCCGAGAAGCGACGAGAACCCGCCAAGAACCGCCCATAAGCCCACCGGCCGAGTCGCGAAACAGCACCGGATCGGGGCCTGCACTGCATCGGGCCGCAGCGCATCGGGCCGCAGCGACACGGAAGCGAGATTCCGCATCGAGCCTCCCGGGGCTGGAAAACGGCCGAGAGAGCCCACGGAATACGTCCGAAGACCTTCGAGCCTCGAACCTCGAACCCCCCAGGAGGAGGAGGAGGAGGAGGAGGAGGAAAGGGAGGAGGAGGAAAGGGAGGAGGAGGAGGAGAAGGAGGAGGAGGAGGAGGGTGAGGAGGAGGGCGTTGCCCCCGAGCCCTGCGCAGGGCCCTGCGCAGGCCCTGCGCAGGGGGGCAGGCCCTCTGCGGCCGCGCGAGGCGGGGCGCGGCGCGCGGCGCCACGGCCGAAGGGGGGGGGCACCGGCCGCCCCCGATCGCGCTCCGCCGGGCGAGCGCGGGGCGCGGGCCTCTGCCCGGGGCACCGGGGTCGGCGGCGAGCAGGGGGGGGGGCGGGCTCTCTCGGGCGGCGGGGGTCCTTTTGGGGGCCCTCAACGACGACGACGACGACGACGACGACGACGACGACGACGACGACGACGACGACGAATGCCGCACGGGGCGCCTTGGCGAACTCGGGACGGGCGGCCGTGCCCCCACGGCCCCTCGTGCCCTGGGCACGCGCCGCGCAAGGGGGCCGCGGCGGTCTGGGCCCGCCCCCTCCTGCTCCTCGTCGCCTGGCTCGCCCCACCCCCGGCCTCCCTCGTCGTCATCCTCAGTCCTCGTTCCTCCAGCGTCAGCAGTGCCATCGTCGCCGTCGTCGGCATGTGCATCATCAGCAGCAGCACCATCATCATCCTCATCAGCAGCATCGTCATTATCCTCGGCACCATCGTAGTAGTCATTAGCATGATCTTCGTCGTGATCAACATCATCTTCATCATCACCATCATCACCACCACCGCCATCATCATCATCATCATCATCATCATCATCATCATCATCATCATTATCATCATCATCATCATCATCATCATCATCATCATCATCATCATCATGTTCATCATCATCAGCAGCAGCAGCATCAGCATTAGCATCACCATCAGCATCAGAACCATCATTATCATCATCACAACTACCATCACCATCGTCATCGTAATCACGGTTACACTCCTAGTCATCACCACCACCGTCATCAGAATCACCGTCGTCGTCGGCACTGTCGTCATCACGAGCATCATCGTCATCATCAAGCTCAGCAGCATGATCGTCATCATTCACAACACCAACAACATCCGACAGCAACACACAACGCACAGCTAAAAACAAACAGCAAGCAACAAATAAGAAACAACCAAAACAATATCAACAACAACAACCATTACAACAACAACAACAACAACAACAACAACAACCACAACAACAACAACAACCACAACAACAACAGCAACAGCAACAGCAACAGCAACAGCAGCAGCAATAATCAGTTTAAGACTGTTCGCTCTTATCCGCTCGAATGTCATGCAACGTGTATTTCCATACCCTCGATACCCGCCCTCTTGGTCTTCGATCGTACCTCTTATGGGGGGCATATCTTACTTCCCTGCAGGCCGGGCCCCAGCAAGCGGCGGGGCGGCCGCGGAACGTCGGCCTGGCCAGCGGCAGCGTTAATCGGCGGCAACCCGACCCCAAGAAGGACGGACAGGGGACCCACCACCACGACGACGACGACGACGACGACGACGGCGGCGGCGACGACGGCGACGACGACGAGCGAAAGCGAAAGCGAGAGCGAGAGCGACAGCGGGACCACGAAGGGCAGGAAGGGGGCCACGAAGGGCAACAGCGGGACCACGAAGAGCATGCCTTTGGGGCCACGAAGGGCGCGAACGAGCGGGGGCCACGGAGGGCAAATAATGCGGGGCCACAGGGCAACGACGGGGCCACTGAGGGTAGCACTGGGGCCCCGTAGGACAGCGAGGGGGCCAAGAAGGGCGAAACTGGGGCCACGAAGGGCATGCATATGGGGCCACGACGGGCGCGAACGAGGGGGGGCCACGAAGGGAATACGAATATTGGGCCGCAGAGAGCAAGGACGGGACCACTGAGGGCAGCAACGGGGCCACGAAGGGCATGTGTTGGAACTCCCCGCAATTTACTCAAGCGCCTCCCGACACTCAGGCACCCAGGAGTCGCGCTCACGCTTAGGACTCCCTCACAGCTTACTTTGGAATCGAGATCTCGCTGCCCTTCGCGGCCCCGTTGCAGCCCTTCGTGGCCCCCTCGCTGCCCTTCGTGGCCCCGTTGCAGCCCTTCATGGCCCCCTCGTTGCCCTTCGTGGCCCAGTTGCAGCCCTTCGTGAACCCCTTGGTCGTGCCCCCTCGCTGCCGTTCGCGGCCCCGTTGCAGTCCTTCGTGTCCCCCTCGCTGCCCTTCGTGGCCCCGTTGCACCCCTTCGTGACCCCAGAGCGGGATTCTTGAGTAAATGGCAAGCAAACTTCCAGCGAAAGCGCGAATCCAAAGCGTCGAGAGAGCGAATCCTGAATAACTTGCAAGGAATTCCAAAGCGAGAGCGCGATTCCTGAATAAGACGCGAGGAAAACTCAGGCGGGAGCGGGGCTCTTGGTAAAATAGAAAGGAAGTCTCAAGCGGGAGCCGTTGTTGTAATCCGGGGCCAACAACACAGCTTGAGCCGACTGACTTCCCCTGATACAGAAGCAAGGCGCGACCCCAGGCGAAGCACTCCAATTGAAAAAACACAATGGCCAAGCCAACCGAGGGGGGATCAACAATAATCTTTCAACAACAACAACAACAACAACAACAACAACAACAACAACCACAACCACAACCACAACCACAACCACAACCACAACCACAACCACAACCACAACCACAACCACAACCACAACCACAACCACAACAACAACCACAACAACAACAACCACAACAACAACAACAACAACAACAACAACAACAACCACGACGACGACGACGACGACGACGAAGGAAGAACGGAGACACCGGCCCCGGCACGAGGACGCACGGTCAACGGTCACACCCAGGTGGAGCAACGGACAGTCCCGCCCCGTGGCTTCTGCGTTGGCGCTCACTGTGTGACGACGGTTCATACGGCTCTGCGGTGGGCCCCCTGCGGCGGCTACGCGCCCCACTCGACAAACGTACACTCCGGCCCCATGTCTCACTTCATCCGACCTGTGGCCTCCGCAGAACCGCTCCCCGTGCGCTCCCGCCTTTTCCGGCCCCTTGCTTGCGCTCCTCGGGAAACCGCAAGAATCCAGAAGAATCGTTCGAAATCGTCTGGGGTCCTCAAGAGTCCTGAGGAATCCTCAGGAATCCTCTGGGCTCCCCAAGACTCCTGAAGGATCCTCCGAGATCCTCAAGACTCCTCAGGAATACTTAAGAATATGTTGGTCTCCTCAGGATTGCTGAGGAATCCTTTAGGAATCCTTAGGAATCCTTCGGAATCCTTAGGAATCTGCTGGACTCCTCAAAATCTTGAGGAATCCTCAGTGATCCTCGGGAGCCCTCGGGAAATCCTTTGGAATCTTCTGGGCTCCTCAGGAGTCCTGAGGAATCCTTGGGAATCCTCAGGAGCCCCAAGGAATCCTAGAAATCTTCTGGGCTTCTCAGGAGTCCTGAGGAATCCCTGAGATTCGTCTGGGCTCCTCAAGAGTCCTGAGGAATCCTGGGAGATCCTCAGGAATCCTGAAGAATATTTAAGAATCTCCTGGGCACCTCTGGTGTTCTAAAGAATCCGTAGGAACCCCTAGGAGTCCTAGAGAATCCTTAGGAATTCGCTGGGCTCCTCAGGAATCCTGGGGATCCTCAGGAATCCCCAGGGCAGGGGATCCCCGGGAGCCCTATGAAATCCTGAGGAATCTTTTGGGTTCCTCCTAAAAAATTCTCGGGAATCCTCAGGAGTCCTGAGGAATCATTAGGAATATGCCAGGCTCCTGAGGAGCCCTGAGGAATCCTTAGAAACCCTCTGGGCTCCCACTCCTGAGGAATCCTTCGGAATCCTCAAGGATCATCAGGAGTCCTTTACAATCCCCAAAAAAAAGAGGGAGGGGTACACCCTTACTCACCTCCCCCGACCTGCCCTGCCGGAAGCCCCCCCCACCTTGTTTTATGCTTTTCACCTCTCGGAAGCTCACCCCTCCCTTTCGCGCTCCTGAAGCTACCCCCCCGCCTCCCTTTCCACAAGGGGGAGGGGGCTTAGCTGACCCCGAGACCCCCCCCCTCACTTTGAACCCCCCGTGCCAAAAGCCCCCCCCCTCCCTTTCCCCGCCCCTCGGAAGCTACCCCCCACCCTCCGCGCTTTGGAAGCTACCCCCCGACCTTAGGTCGACATTCAAGAGTAGGTGACATGGGTTTTTTCTCGTCATCATGCTCACCACCATCATCACCACCATTAGAATCACAAGTTTCATATGTTTTCTTATCCTCCTCATGTTCCTAATCCATCTTCATCCCCCGCGAAATCAAAGCAGTAAGACATCCGTGAAAACAGGAGCAACAACAAACCCACACATTCAAACACACTGTGAAACCCGTACAGAAATCCATACAATCAGAAACAAACAGAAAACCATACAATCAAAAAAAATGACATCCATACAATAAATCGAAATAAGAAATCCATTCTATAAAAACCAACCAAAAAAAAAACGTCTTGAGCCAAAGTCCGAACGAAAGTACGGGGATTCTCAGGAGCCCCGAGGAATCCTGCGAGCTTCTCAGGAAACCTCTGGGAACCTCGGGACTCCTCCGGATTCCTCAGGAATCCACGACGACGACGACGACGACGACCAGCACCACCGCCTGAAGAGTGATTTATCGACGGCGTGCTCTGGCCGTGTCCCGCGAGGAATCCCTGGTGATCCCGAATAATCCGGGCGATTCCTGAAGAATCCTGAATCACCCTGAGGAATCGTCGGGGGGGATGGAAAAATTCCTGGTTGACCCTTGGGGAATCCCGAAGGGCCTTGGGGAATCCTGGGGAATTCTGGTGAACAGCGGGAAATCACCTGGAATTTTAGGGAATCTAGGGAGTCTTGACGAATTCTGACCGATCCTGACGGATCTGGGGGATCCTGAAGAATCCGGTGGACTCCTGGTGGATCCTGAAAACCCTCGGGCGTCCTGACGAATGCAAAGGAAGCATGGGGAATCTTAGGGAATCCGAAGGAGTTCTGGGAGGTCCTGACAAATCCTGCAGGGTCCTTGGGGATCCTGACGGTCCTCGGGGATCCACTCAGCACGAATGACCATGACGGGCCACGGGGAATCCTGACGAATCCTGGGGAAGCCTGGGGGTCCTGAGGACTCTGAAGAATCCCTGTGGAATCCGATGGGTGCCTGAGGAATCCTGGGGCGTCCTGGGATTCTCCAATCTGGGCATTTCCAGGAACCCCGATGGCTCCTGAAAAATACTGAAGAATCCTGCGCCAACGGGAGGAATCCTTGGGGACCCGCGGGGGTCCTGGAGAACCTCAAGAACGACGCCCAGAATGCCGACAAGTTCTCCAGCCCGGTGGAGAACCGGCCGCCGCCGCCCCAGTGCCAAAGACTTTTTTTCCAACCCCGTGGTGCAGGCACGCGCTTGCTGGAGCGCGGATTATACCCTCAGGTGTAAGGATTCGGCTTTTGA